GTTATGGTAGGTGGTGTTTGGTCCCTTTTGTTTCTGATCTATGAGATTTTTTTGTTTGTTTGTGCTGCTTCTGTTGAGATTCAAAGCCACCGTCAGTGGGGTGGGACTTTGACACTTGTGCATTCCCAGTGGAACTGGGATGAGGAGCTCCACGAGCACGTAGCGTGACGTGAATGGAAAAACTGTTTGTGTTTCACATTCTGGAGGACTGGTTAGCTGAGTCAGGGCTTTTTGTTCCTCTGCAATGAGACTGAAAATAAAAAACCTACTGGGAGTGTGTGAAGCAGCTCGGAGCCCTTAGCACTGTTACCTGCTAGCACCAGCTGTGCCTGAGCAGGGGGACTTTGGATGCAGCTTCTAACAAAGTTCTGGCTCCAAGAATAGGGCAGAAGTACTTTTCAGCAGGTACTCTGCACATAATCTTTGGCTTTCCGCTATTGAAAAATACCCTGCCATGACTTCTTTTAGCAAGGTAGGCTAAAGCAATCCAGCAAGACTGCCCTGGCATCTTGGTCTAAAACCAGTGGGTGTCGTGGGTTGGTTTTTGGTGAGTTTTTTTTGGAAGCACTGTGTTAGCAGGACAGTGACAGTACTTTTAGTGACAGATCCTTTAGAATATTTGTGTGCAGGTGGACTTCAGCTCGTGTACCTGCAGTTGGTTTAGGAGAACACAACCCTGGTTTTGAACTTGTCCTCGTGTAGGTGTTGTTCAGAGCAAAAGAGCAACAAGGAAGATCAAAAATGTGTTTTTTCCAAATTTCTCTTTTCACATTGTAAACACAGCAAGACTTGGTACAGGATGAAGAAGGAAGTGAGTGTTCCCAGCTTGCACCGAAATGCTCAGCAGTGCTTCTGTAGCTGGATTTGATGTGTTTCTCTGTATGGTATATGTTACAGAAAGGCGGCCTTTCTCATTACCTGGGTTCCTGACTTTTTAAATGCTCCCCAGATCACATACGAGTTGCAAGCTCTCCTCAACTGCAGTCACTTTTCACTTGCTATTCCAAGCAAATCCCACTTAGAAATTTACTTGAAGGACTTCAATAGGATTTAAGTAGTGCAGATGGTTTGTGCTGCTTCTTTGTATACACGTGAATTCAGTTTTCTGTCAGCTTTTTCTGTTGGTAACCGTTGAGCAGTTGAATGATCCCAGACACAGGCCCCTAACAAATACACTTGCAATGAATTCATGTCAGTGGACTTAACTTTTGTAGTAACCAGCTGTAGAAAATACTGGGAATTATCTAAAGAATCATTCGTATTAAGATACTTCTTATTTCATCGTGGAAAATACGAGCTCATCGTTATATTTTCTCTCCCTCAGAGACTCCTTCAGCAGGATGAGCCTTCGCAAAATGGATATCTAAACGAGTTAAAAACCAAAATTAAAAAAAGCACTTACAATTAAGGTTTTGAAAAGAGAGAGCCTTGCTATCAGCGCTGGGAATCAAAGAAGTTTTATTGTGAAATAAAACTCGGACTTCATCCTGGACATCCCACACACCTCTTCCTCCATCAAAGTGTTCAGTGGCCAAAAAAATCATTTTGAATTGTCAAATGTAGACTTATCGATGTTTGAAAAAAATCATGAAAGTGGTATCCAGAGTATTGGTGATAAGCTGTAAACTTACCTGTTTTTTAAGGCATTTTTATGACTCAAAGGTACACTAAACGCATTTACCTTATTTATAGCATTACCTAATGTTAAATTTATTTACTTTTAGTTCATATATTTAATTTATATTAGGACCATACGCAAATGCATTTTTGAAGTTTTTAATGTAGTGATGATGGTTATTTTGATGGTACTATTAAATATGTGAATGTTTACACTTTAATTCCTGTGCATTGGACTTCAGAGCTTGCCATCCTTGGGAAAAAGTTTCAGAGTAAGGTAAGTCTTAACCCTAATGCTTCTTAACCAAGTGATATTTTTTTATTTTTTACTCATTCTATACTTTCTCCTTTGTAACTGAATACGAATTGCTGCAAAGAAAAGTAATTCTGTCTGTCACCATCAGAAGAACTAAGGCTTGCCTTGTTCCCACTTCACCTCTGCCAGTACCAGTGAAGGCGAGTTTCAGCATGATGACTGTGTGGTGTATGGCTGTTTCCACCAGCTAGGGAGTCCAAACACAGCCCAGTAACCCCATCATACTTTAAATGGACAGTTCGGTTTAGCAGCTTACAACTAGGCTGCTCCTTCTGTCCCTCTTTCAATTTAAAAACTAATTCGTGGAGGGTGGGGGAATAGGAAAAAAATGATAAAACAATTTCACTGAGTTAACATAGAAGGCATTCCTCACCTTGCTATTTATGTGAAGCAAAAAATCTGTTCTAAGGCAGTTATTTTGGTGACTAAGACAGCACTTGAAGGAAACAGAGTTGGAGCTGACTGCGTTACTCCTAAATCTAGTCCTTCGTCTTTTCCTCTATAGCGAACAAGGTCACTTGGAGAAAAGGGTACGTGATTAAACACAAGCTTACTCACTCTACATGAATACCTAAATATACATACATAAACATGTATTTATGTATATATAGGTTAAACAAATAGATAAAAGTCCTGCTGTAAGCATATATGTAATCATACAAGAAAATGTATATGCTTTTTAGCCAGGAGCCTTTAAGGTTGCAATCACACTGCACGTCACCAGTTCCAAATCGTAAGTTTGACCTTTCCAGTCTAAATACCTTTTATGTTGACTTCTTCCGTGCCCCAAGGCGCTGGTTCTTTGGGTTCCCCCCTTTCTGTTTTAGCTCCTGTAGCGGCAGCAAGCACCCACCTTTGTGCCACAGTAGTGAGGTCTTTTTTTGTTCTTGTCACACTTGGTTATTTCTGGCTGCCCATCACACTCTTGCTCCTGAGCAGGGCTGGAAGGGCACCAGGGCTTGGAGCCCCAGCGGGACAGGGGCTGAGGCTCTGCAGCCTGCAGCGGGTGCCAGGAGGAAGGGGAAGCAGCACTGATGATTCTCGTTTTCTCCCATGCTCTTTTTTTTCCCAACAGCTGCGTAGTGGTGGTGCTCTTCTCAGCTTACGGGTCTTTGAGTGTTTCCCTTGATCGCGTCATCCTGAACTAGGTCTGTGGTACGGGTTGTAACACCAAAAGGTCAGCATGGAAGTTCCTATGTGAAGAAAAACTATTCCTCTAACCTAATCCTTTTTTTTTTTTTTTCCTTTCCTTGCCCTCATTTCAAAAGCTCATTGCAGAGCATGGAGATGTTAAGAAGGTGTTGAAGGTAGCAGGGGAGTTGGGGACGCTAATAATGGAAGATATTAGGGAGTAAGGTCACTTTGCAAGAGATCAATAGGAATATTTACAAATGGATTGGGGGGAGGTTGGAATCCCAGTAGCCATGAAAGAACGAAACCTTAATTCACTGGAGTTCTTGTAGATGCTTTTCTAGCTGAAGAAATAATATATATTAATACAAACTGTGGACAACTGTCCCTTGCTAGTACTGTCTAACCCCCCTTCAGCATAAATCCGCATGGCTTATCAGTACAGCCAGCTCAGCAATTATGTAAAACTCGAGTGTTGTATCAGTGAAGGCTAAAATTGAGCAGTCACTCTTTGTTTTCAGTTACAGCAAACCAGGGGTCACGTGTAGTGCAAGACATCGGCTACTGCGGTGTATTACTAGTTCAGGAAGGGCAGCGAGTGCTTTATTTGAATAAACCTCAGAACAAGGAAAAAAAAAAAAAAACATGAAAGAACAAAAAACAAGAAAGAAGGTTTTATATATCCTTATGCCAGGGGACAGGTTTTACTGCAGCATATTCCAGCTGGTGACATTCTGCCTTCAAGCGCTTACACAGGCCATTCCTCTCAAGCCGTGTGGTACGATGGAAGGCAGCCGGGTCTGCCTTTGTTGGCACTGTAGCCACTATTTTGCTGCATAGAACCCTATTTTGTTCCCACGGAACATTTCCTGTTCCTATAACTGGGTAAGAAAAAGATGTCCTGGGTCAAGTGTGAAAAATGAAACTTCTGTCTGCAGGCTGAAATTCAGCAAACTCCCTGTTGCAGGCAAAAAAAAAAAAAAAAAAAAAAAAAAAACGCATTCTGATGTGATTTGGCTATCCTTGCAAGGTAAGATTACAATTATTTTGGGTGATTTGTTTTTTTTAAAGTGTAAGTACTTCTTGTTTTGGACAGTGAAATTACTTAGTATGATTACAATGTTTTGGTATCTCATTGAATTCATAATTCAAGATTTTTCTCCTCCGCAGAAATTATTAGAGACAGCTGTTCAGCATGAGGTTTTAAGCAGCTCCAAGGGTAGTCCAGCTTTTTTTATACTTTCATAGTGAAAGTAAAAGTTTTCTTGTCTGAAGCATGTTTTACCTCTGGCAATCGAGGCCTGTACAAAAACCAGCAGTCCATCAGAACATGAAAAATACACCAAATATATTTTCATGACTTATCTCAGTGTTTATTACATTATAATAAAAGATTAAAAAAAAAAAAAAAGGGGGGGGAGAATAAACAGGTACAGGTTTCTAGGGCTTTTCTTATAAATAATTAATATTTGAAAAAGCTTAAACATATTCTGAAAAATAGGGTGTGCTTACACTGCTGGGTATCTTTCCTTGTCTGTCTGTGCAGCAGCACTTCACGTCACGTCAGCAGAGCTTAGTGTATGTCCATGCCATGTATTTCAAATTCTGATTGATTGCAGTTTACAGGACGCTGCTCAACATTTTAGCATCTAATAGATGAGTTTGGATTTTAATCTCTAGCATTTAAATGTCAAATGTTTGTTTTTACGATAATCTTAGTTTTCCTTTTCCATTGCCTCCAAACCTTACTGTTGTCATCAAGTCCTGTGGAATTAGGATGTGGTACAAGACAGTTAAAAACACTGAATGCTGCTACTTTGGAGCACTCTCATCTTCCTTTTCAAGGTGGATCATTTCCCAACCATTCTGTAACGATGCCCAACCACTCCCACTTCCCCCTTTTTCCTCTCCGAAGACAAAGTCTGACTTAGTCATCTCTGATGCATATCATATTTTTTTTTATTTCATATATACATTCTCAACAAAGCATCAAGCCAAATGCTTTCGTTTGCTCACCTTTCAGTGAGCTCGAAGTACAAATTAACTGTTATAAGATCACCACTAAATTCCAAATCCACCCAAACAGATATGCATATTAGAGGGCTTTACTCTTAAGAAGTACAAAAGTATTTTAATTACACTACACGCTCCCTGTTTTGAAGTATTAATCACACCTATTTACACTTATGCCCATTTAACACCTATGCAACAAGATGTAAATTAGAACATCAAACATTTCTATTAAGTTCAGCTCCTTCCAATACACTAAACAAAGCTTTAAGCCCCTTTTTCTTGTGCTTTGGGATGCACTGAGCGGTATAGGACTGGGTAAGGAGAATGCCATCAGCAAACCACGTCGATTACTCAAAGACTATATATGAAGTATTACTTCGCAAGTTACAAAAATACACAACTTCTGATGAAATCTGCTAGTTAATATACATTTACTCCAGAATATGAATACAAATAACTTTTATTAAAAAAAAGCTAATAATACAAGAGGCATGTCTGAGAACTAGAGCTGTGTTAAAACCACTACCGTGTATTGTAGGCATCATTCAGGAACTATACAAATCGGTATTCCTAAAAGATAATATCGCTATTCAGCATAAAAGTTACTATGTGAGTTAAGTTCTAGGGCATGGTTTATTAATTCAAGTTGAGCCACTTACACAGAACGCAAAGACCAGAAAATGTATGATCCAGTAGCTTCAAAAAAACAAACTTCTGTTTCTTCCAGGTAGTCCTGATGCAAATCAGGCAATAGGTGTATGCAAATCCTTAATATTTACAGTCAAAATACAGTATCACTCTACAATTTTCTTATAAAACAGTAAGTAAGGAGTTGACGTAGATGACGATGTCGGAGAAAGAGAATTCAGAAAGTCCTTTTCCTCTGTGACCTTCACTTCAGAGTCATCAAAAAGCAACCACTTTCCTTCATACTCTTTCAGGCTCTGCAATACGTACAAAGCTTTATTTTCTAGTCCGCTGAAGGCAACCCCGTTCTGATCGCTGTGCTCCGTACTGCACTCCACGCTTCCGTTAGTATTGCTAGACTCTGGGTTTCTGTTTTCAGTAACTATATTAAGAAACTTCTCAGCGTTAGCTGGTTTGTTATTGTACAGGTCACAGTCAGACTTGCTCTTCTGTCCCCCCAGAAGTCCCACAGCTTCCATGTTCTTTTTGTTCAGAACTTTCCCTGGCTGTGCATTCCCGTTGACTCTAAAAGAGACTTCGCCGTCGTCGTAGTCTTCGGCAACAGTTCGCGCTTCCTCCTCGTTCAGTGGTTCTGGCTTTATCATTTCGTACATTTGGTCAGTGATGAAGTTTCCCTTGTCTATCTCTAGGCTGTTAAGATCTGTGATTTTGACAGAGGCTGTGTAGTGTCCACTGCTAATTGTAATGCCACTGTGCATTACCACGGCAAATAATCCGTAGGTGTCGTTAGTTGGCTTCGTGCTCCATTCTTCTAGCGACAATTTGAGAGGCGTCAGCAGGGGAGTGTTTATCTTGGACAGCCCACCATAGCAATCAAACCTTCAGAAAAAAAAAACAAAGTTAGACATCTTGCCCCCTCAGCACACAATAAATCCTACTTTAAAAGGCCCACACACTGAGCCTGTATTCTTGTTCTTCTATTAGTAACATAGAGATATGAATGAGAGACAGAGCGATACGAATGTGAAAAGCTGCTGCTTACTTTTTTCTACTTGCTTATCACGAGCATCTGCCCCAGGCACCCATTCAGTAAAGAGATTTTTGCAGGTATGCGTACTGGTAAGCCTTACAGCCTAATAGCCGTGTATTTTAACTAAGGGACTTCCCTTTTCAGAAGCTGATGCCTCTTTACTTAAAGTAAGCGTTAAATAGTGACAAAAATGAGTTTTAATTATCATTCATGCTTCTGTGATTATACTTCCACTTCTTTACAGACATCAACCCGCTTACCAGCTTTGATAAGCTTTAGCATCCAAGGTACAGAGTAAGCAGGGTTTTTTCCCTAAAGGTTTTGAAAAAGTCACTTACTAAACATCACTTAGAGAAACTGAATTTATAATAGTCGGTAGTTTTTCTCAGATCACCTTAATGCCCTGCCAATGGTATGCAAAGGACAGTTATCTAAGGATAATAAAGTAACTTTCTTATTGCTAGGGATTGTTCATTAACTGTCCTATCGTAGTTTCTTTATGCAATTATCTAGCTGATTCACTTTGGAAGAGCATCTGGAATTTCCATAAACACACAGCATCTTGCTCTCAGCTCAAACTTCTCTCATTGTAAATTCCTAAGTCCTTTCACTTAGGATCTTCTATAGAGTTTGGAAAGAATTCTAAGGAGTTTGGAAAGAAAAAAAGTCGGGACTTAATCAGCTCTTTTGCATGTTAGCCTCTCTGAATCATTCAGCTTTTACATGATTTACATACTGCATAGCCAATATAATTAACCCCTTTATTTAACAATATCTCCTGGTGTCCCAGTAGATTTCAGTGATGTTTCAGTCTTAGTCAAACATCAGGGTGTCGTAGGGAAAAGCAGTGCAGAACACAGAAACTCTGCAAAGCTTGGGCATCAAGGAGCCAAGTACTGTTATTCACCTTTACTTTTCCCATAATAAAGGCTCATAATTACTTGTAATCCAATGGAAATGTAGACAGACATAACAGCATAGGCATAATTGGAGATAACAGAATATTGCTTTGGTTTTACTGGGTTTTGATTCTGCTGATCTTTTAAATGTTTTGCTGATGTTCCCAGCCATAAACCTTCATAACCACAAACACACTCACACATACACAGGTGCCCTCAGTCACTCAAGTGTACTTAACTCCAACCTCGTCACATTTTAGACCTAGGTTTATAGTAAACATTTGACTGCACCAAAAGAAAAAGAGCAGATCATCAGAAATAAAACTTAAATTTTCTGGAAATCCCTATTATTAGCCAGAAAGAGACACTCAGAAGAGAATACTCAGAAAGTGCTTACTGACAGTCTAAGATCAGAAATGCAGTCCCACTCAAGCACACTATGACAATCATATTAAAATAAAACATTAAAAAACAGGCTCTACCTTTTTTCTGAATGAGATCCAGCATCAGAAAGATTTGGAGAGGAGGGAATAAGAGAGGAAATCTTTTCCTATTAGCTTTTTGTTCTTCTTAATGATAATCTGAAGACAGAAAAATTGCATGCCAAGTACTCTGCCTCCTCTGACTGCTGCACAGTAGTTCATACACAACAAACCTGACTTCTGCAATTCTATTGCTGAGGCATAAATTCGTGGAACTTTACCCACTGTACTGATTTAATACCTCAAGTTATTATAGACCTTAAAGGCTTAAGCTATTTTACCACAACTCTTCTGACACATAAAACATTAAATAAGCCAAATAAGATTCTCCAGGGCATAAGCACTGCTGTCACTAACTAGCAAACGTGACAGTTGCAAAACCTCAGAGTAAGACTTCATTAAAACCAGTAAGTCACCTGCTCTTACCTGACACCATTTCACTAGTCAAATACCTCAATTTTCTCTGAGATGCCAGTTGTGCATCGTGGACAGGCTTAAAGAGATGTTACCAGGTGCATGGTTCACTTAATAGCTTTGTCATCTGAGCGTGGGGCTGTTTACCCCCATGACCCAGTACTTCCTCTCCCCACCCTTGCCAAACAGCATTACTCAGCCCCAGGCTAGTAGATGTTCACACTGGGTGCTTTATTTTTTAAAAGCCACTTTGCAGGCCAGTCTAAAAAAGATGGAGCAAAGCCCTCCTAACTTCAAATATTTATTTACAGTACCACTGCTTTCTGCTTTATTTTTCTTCACTTATTAAACTCAGCTGTCAGAGAACTCAGTAGAGCATGACTGAGAAGCAGACGAGATTTCAAAGATTTTATTGGAGCTAGGAGAACAGTGATAGGAACATTCTCAGTTTAAGCATCTTAGTTAAAGCAGCAAAACCATCTGGTACTACTTTTAAGGACAAATTACGGCAGTCTTGTCCATGGAGAACAAGTTTTTTTTGTTGTTTTTGTTTTTTACAATAAATATTACAAGTTAATTGAACTGGGGGAAGCTCCATCAAAGCTTGTAGTGCAAAACGCGCCGTAATAACAGCAACTCCAGCTACTGTAGGGGAAGCCAGCACTTTATTTACTAGCCTTGGCTCTTTTGGCTCTTTCCCCATTTGACTTGCAGCTGCATGTTATTACTCCAAATCAGTATGTTTAGCAGTGACATGGTTTTGTCCAAGATAAAAAGTCCAAGCCAAAAACCGAGAAGCGATCCTCCACGCAGTTTGGTTCATCACTGCCTCCAGGACTACGTTCGATTTTTCCACTTCTACTTCCTCAACCTCTGGCTGCTAGAGCTTGGCAGAAAACACAGGACACATTCAAAGGGCACAGGAGGAAGACCACAAGAGGCTGGATTCACTCTGACCTGGGTACAGGTCTTAATATTTTTGGAGCAAGGACCTGAAGAGTGCCAGGACAGAAGAGGTAAGTGACTCAGCAGACAGCTGGTTAGCCTGTAAGCTGCAAGTGCTTCCTCACAGAAACAGAGAGGTAGCAGAGGTAGGCACAAGCTGAAGGTAACGTCCAGGTTCTCTCTCTCAGGTTGTTTTTTGAATAACCTCTAACGATACCAGTATTCCACCTCACATCAAAGGCTATTCAGTAACATTACAGTTGCCAGAAGAAATGTTAGCAGACTTACACAGAGGAAGTTTTTTCCTTTCCACTTAAGTCATAAAGTTAATACTCCTAACAACAAGCACTAAAAATTGAGGGTGAGAATTCCACTTTCAAAAAAATCTTAGTAAACTACTAGTAAAAAAGTATCTCATAGAATCCCTGAAAATAGTTCTTCACAAATGGGATTTATACTGACCTCAGTTATCAGTTCACAGCGTGTCCTGTGACAAGTCACTCCACTCATACTTTGTGTCTAGTGCCAAAGGTCCTACCCACTTCCAGTGGTGACACAATGGTTAGAAAATGCCACTGAAGGCTTCGTGTGTTAGATATCCTGCTGTCAGGATAGCTCTGAAGGTCTAAAGCCAGCCTACAGGGAATGGCTAAGCACCAGGAAGTTGGTGCATAAAAAGCCAAGCCAATTGGTGCCTAAATAATGTACTGTAGGTCACAAAGGAGCTCTGTTAAGTCTCAGAACAAAGCCGTGCCACCAGAACACTCAGTTTATGCAGGGTTATAAACTAGGCAGGCTGCAGCAGCGCAGTGTGCTTGGCTCTCTCAAACAGATGCCATCGGGGGGATACTCAACCAGCACGTTTCTCTTCTTCTGCAGCATCCAGCAAAGTTAACGCAGAGTGCAAAAGCTACGGTTTAATTGAGTACTGGAAAAAGGTGAAGGAAAGATCAAGTCTGCAAGTGTTACTGAAATCGTCTATCACTCAAAAATGCAAATCAGTCGTATTAACAATTTTCTAAAGGGTCTAGGGGAATATCGTACAGTTCAAAGTTCTCATTTCTCATTATTTGGATCTCACTGGAGCTACGCAAAATGCTGTGCCAGAAGTTGTCACAGCATTGTTTTATTTGTGTATCCTATTGCAGGGATATAATCATGTCCCTCACCCTAAATGAAATCCCTAAACTCCTCAGTATGAATAATGGTAAAAACCAAGGATTTTCATAGTATATAACAAACTAATTGCTTGGCAGTTGAACATGAATGACATTGATCTATTCCTTTAAAATTTAGCAATTTGTCTGTAGTGTGTTAGCTCTTCAAAGTGCTGATCTAACCCCTCCCCTCCCAGTTTTAGTACTGCTGTTCAGTTAAAGACCACAGCACCGCTAGCTGTGAGCATAGCATTCGGTTTTGTTCTCATCACTTGTTCTGCTGAAGTACTTAAAAATGCCTCTAAGCTCTCACACACAGGTGATGTTAAGAGAAGCATGGGGATATCGAGCTGTTCTAAGCATAGCGGTAAAGCTTTTTGGCAAGAAGCCTCTTAAGAGTCTTTTTTCCTGAGGATAAATTTTTGTCACTGCTTCTAACAATAAAAAGCCCTTATGAATCTAAGTCAGTGAGACACAGCCCCTAATTTCAATCTAGAAACTTGCTTTTGGAGAATTTAAGGCATTTTCATCTCTCCTGATAAGATTTCCCTTTCAACAGCACTGTTTCATAATGTAGCGAATCAGCATACTCACTCTATGCCACTAGCAGCAAAGCACTTCAAATGAATTGTTATAACTTCAGGCATTTTATCAAATAAAAGACTGCGTTCTGCTTCTGTGTAATGATGGCAGTTCTCGCAGAAATATTTATCCTCTCCCACAATCCTTTCCACTGATGCAAACTGCGAAATTGCCCACTTAAGAGTCTTCATTTCTGTTTTTGGCTCTGGAGAAACTGAAAAGAGAATCATTACATTCATACATACATGGTTATTTGTATTTCCAATGCATCCCACCAGAAGAAAAACACAACAAGAACTACCAAGAACACTGTGAAGAATACCCAACGTGTGTGAAATAGAAAATGTATTGCAATCTTTGAATCATTTCAGGAAATTACGCAGCCACCAATCAATGGATGCTCTTACCTGAAACATACACACACACATTAACACCACCACGTACACACACTGAACTCGGAAGCGCTTCAGCAACACAGGGTGGGCAAAAATAGTGAAAGCTGCTCTGAATTAAGTCTACGAGCACTAAAAGTGATTTATTTCAAATTCTGAAATTCACAGTGTCTTGCTGCCATGCTGACTGCTTACTTTTGAGAGTAGGTAAAAGTCAGGCACGGCTCGCTACCAGCTGTGGCTTACACCAGAGGACTAACGTTTCCAAATGTAAAGCACACAGTACTAAGCTAACGACAAAAATGTTCTCTAAAAATAATATAAAAATCGATTTTTAAAGCAAGATTCATTTATTATAAGAAAAATAAAGAAAAGATTTCTTCCGCTTAATCTTGCATTTATAAGAATCTTACCACAGAAGAAAGGACAGACCCAAATCAAAGAAAATACTCATTTATAAGCAGGAAAATATGTACATGAGAGAAGGACTGTAAGCAGTCTGTTATGCGTTAAGATCTGAGGCGATTTTAATAGTGTCTGGATCCGTCTACATTAACTTTAGACTTTGTAAACACAACGCTGATAATCAGGACAAGAGATAACAGAACAGCCTCTAATTTTAACCAGCACAAACAAGGGACAGATACGGCACTGTCAAGGAACAACGCCTTCCTCAATGGCTGTCTGAAGCAGAAACAAACCACAACCCTTTTCGGTAATTACTTACTTTCAGAACTTTCTTCAGTTTTAGAAAGTTCATCTTCTTGCACTGGAACGCTGATGTCCTGGAAGTCTTCTCTTCTTTCAGTGAAGCACTCGCACTCCAAGCATCTTGTTCTCAGTACTAACTGGCCCTGGAACAATTTCTCCACTAGTTCAAAAACAGCCAGCTCCGTACCTAGAGAGAGTATATGCCACACAACTTACTTAGGTGTGCTTTGTTCAACAGACACTACAGAACCTGGCGACTCTTTATGGATAAAAAAAATCACAGTGTCAGATATATGGTGCCTCAGGGATTCTACAGAGGAGTAATTTTAAAAAAAGCCCTGCTTATCACACAAATTTTCACAGTATCACTACCTACTACTGAACAGGAAGCCTCTTTCTCTTTGCTCTCAAACTTCTAAGTTCTAAGATTAGATCCTTCTTTTATAGTTGAAGTTTCACTTGTCACATTCTAGACAGTGTTTGCCATCAGTGCACTCACTACCTTCTTTGTACGGACTGTCAGCCTCCTCAAGGAGCATCACACTTGTATTATTGCCTGCTTTGTATTTGGTCTCACTTCCTCTCCTCCAATATTTACCTGGATTAGTTGGCCAATTTTAGTCAAATTGGATGAAGAAATGAGGATCTTGAAAGGTTCTGCATTCCTTCAGATGTTTTCATAAAAATTGGTGGTTAGATCAGAAAAAAACCTCCACGTTAGTGACTACAAACGCATACTGTGCCCCTTCCCTCAACAGTTACCTTGTCCTGCTGACACTCAAAATTCTCACCTGCCAGCCAATTTGCATATATCCTGTGGCCTTCCTAGTTCCTGGGAAGGCTGAAAATATGGAAGGACTAAAGAACAGGAAGGGAAGGTGAGAATATTGCTTGTAAGGGCTTAGGACACACACCCATTGCCTGTGGGGTTTCATTCTGTTTTATGTTTCGAATTCACTTCCTATTTCTATAGATGACAAACAGTGGGAATATAAACCTGGTAATATGTTTATATATATATATATAGAATAACAATTACATGACATTAGTGAAAGGCCTATTTAGATCTAAGCTAAACAAGCCAGGGCATAAAACAAAAATTACAAGTGTATAAAACAATTTCAAAAACATCTTTTTCAATTTTTGAGAGTGTAATTCTGTATTTAGAGAGCTCTGCTTGCAGTGCAGCCTGAACGTTGACTTCCAATGTATAGCAATTCCCTTATCATTCTAATTTTAAGCCCATACACTTGTTCACCAACCTTCCTTTTTTGGTTCTTTTTCAGTTCCTTTTTCATTATGGCTTTCCACAGCAAATGCTGGTTCATGACCCTCTTCTTTAATGTTATTGCCATTTTCACTCTTCACAGAAGACTCTTCAAGCTCACAGTCATCGTATTCTTTCGCTGGGTCTTTGGATCCCAAATTTGTTGTCAACTTTCCCAGACTATAAAATTTGGACAGAATACTGGGTTGTTTGCACGAAGATTTTAACCAGTTTAACCGAAGTCGTGACTTCTTCTGTGTGGGCTTCGCACTCTCGTTTTCAGTGGAGCACTTGGCAATGGCATCGGTTTGATTTTCGAGCTTTTCTCCCGTTGCTTTCCTCTTCGACCTGGTTTGTCTTTGATTTTCTTCTGCTGCAATTTGTTCTTTCGATACTTTGGATTTTTTCTTTGCGTTGCCACCTTCGGCATCACTTTTTCTTTTCCCGTTCCCTTTGAGCAGCTTATCTTCGGCCACCTCTCCCACAGGGCCACTCGGCTCACTGTCCTCCTCCTCGGCAGAGTTGCCAATTCCGTTGCTCTCACCATTTTCATCAAGTTTTTCCTCCGGTTTAGCTGCAGGCTCTTCCAAAGGGAGTTTGTTCAATTCTTCCTTCTTCAGTAGCTGACATGTTTCTTGGATGTTACCTAGGATACACTGCAGAACCTCCTGGGCATCGTGCTGCAAGTAGCCTTCATACATAGGGTTGAGCTCTCTGTTAAAGGCAAAAGTAAAGGAGCAAAGGGATGATGAGCAGATTACTAGCCAGCTAACATGACCAGATACTTAAATTAGAGAAGTTTCGCTACAAAAGCAGGGGAGGATCCCCTCCAGGCCTAGAAAGAAGTCATCTCTCACAGATTCCCATGGGAAGGTAGCCACAGCCTCACACCAAAGAGCACTTAAACACACGTTACGTTCAGCTGCGGCCTCACAGTGGTACTTCCCAGGACAACAACAGTACTTACATACTTCAGGCTAACCACTGCTTTAAATCCACTGTGGGACTGAAATCATGTTCTTACAAAAACAAAATTCACTTCCAAACTTATGATACCATAGAGGTAACAATAAACACAAACCTCCCCTTTGAAATGTAAGAAAACTTCCTTCCTACAATCATGTAATGAGGCCCCAGGTTTAAGACCCTCTACCCCCCACGTCTCTATCGCTGTACCGTACAATCACAGCCACCTTCAAACTTGAGGTGAAAATTCGGACAGAGTTTAAGACAAACTGTACCTAAGGGTATTGAGTAGCCTTCGTGGCTGAGTAGCAAGTTCATCCGTGTATTTCTCTGGATTTAAGAGAAAGCTGGCTTGAAGCTGCTCAATGGAAAGAATCAGGGAGTGCAGGCTGCAGATCAGCTCGTAACTTGCCAGGGGATCTTCTTTACAATTTCCCTGCAATAACAATGTAAAAGGAGTAAAATATTTGCAGTTTTGTCTGTAACAAGCAGTTAAACTTTTTCTCCTGTCCCCACTTAGTTTTCTACCAGACATGACAGATTTTCTGTCCTGTATGGGAAATGAGTAAGCTTAGGTCAATGTACTGCTCTTCTGCCAGTAGAAAAGAAACCCTGAGCACTACCAAGTTTGAACACAAGTTCAAAACTTCTCAAGCTTATTTTTACCTGAATTAGCCCGATACTTCAAAACTTCTTACAAACAGAAGGAAACAGCTCTATTTTCAGTACTGCCCTGGCACATAGCCTCACCCGCACAAATACAAGTAAAGGAACACGGAGGGAGATACGTTACCTTGTCTGCTTTTTGCTCGCCTTCTTCTTTCAAAGATTCTTTCTTCTTTGAAATGATGTTGTATAAATGCTTTACTCCAGTTTTAAAGCCAGGACAAAAATATAACACCTAAAAGCAACAGTTTAAAACAAAATAATAACTGGTGAGCTAAGTTATTTGACATCACACGTCCACGCTTACAATCCACCTAGCTTTACATCTCCCAAGGCTGCTGCACAGCATGCAAAGATTTGGGATTACTCAGGGCAGGGACATGGCTCAAGTATTTAAACTGACAAATTAATTATTCAAGGCAATCCATGGTATGCACCACTTCCTGCACTATCCTCTTTTTTTTTTTTCCCCTAACTGTAATTAGATTCCCTGTATGCAACACCCAGATATCTTCTACAAAATGTCAAACTAAGAATCCCATCTATTTGCACTTAACCAAAACAAAAGGATCGTTTTGAGGCCCTGTGACATGCTCTTACCTGAAGGATGCTGTTCAGGTAACAAGTGTTACCGAGATTATTCAGGCCCACGAAAGGCAACATGTTGTCTTTCCTCTCGCAGCTGACAAGTGAGGGAGGCTGTGCTGCAGGAACAACCTGGTCACTATAAAACAGTGCAAACAGAACCAATGACTAATAAGCACAAATAAAAACGGTGTCAAAGCATTTCCGAGAATGCCCACATGGCTATTCTAAGTACTCACAGCCAGGCCAACTCAACCGTAACCCTTCTTTCTAGTAACCTACTCAAAAAGAGGCAGGTTAATGAGAGGCGAGTGTGCCTGCCAATTATCCCAACGCCCACCTCTCAAGAAGTGGAGTGATTTAGGGCATCAGGAAAGTTCTCTGTACAATCCTTCTGCGTGCTCTTTGTTCATTCCTAGGGCAGCACCAAGAGAAGTGCGATGGGTCTAGCTCGTATTTTCTCTTACTGCCCTTCACTCCAGATTCTTATCACTCATTGCTGGGAGCACAACTTGAGAATAAATATAGAAGGGGGGAAAAAGCTAACAAAAAACCTGGCGCATTACACATAGCGATGTATATAGCATAGAGATGTACTATCCTGATACACCAGACTCACATCTCAAAGCCTCCAACAGGCTGATTGTGATGAGGCAACTTTTCTTCCTCCCATCCAGCATCCCCGCGAGCTGCAGGGAGGCGAGGGGATGAATTCACCCACAGCAGCGAGCAGCACACTCAGTGCTTGTATTCCCAGCATCAGGGACCTTTAATATCCGGTGTTCTTTCAGCAGAATTCATTTTGTAAAAAGTTTGATAGCTAAAATAAAGCCAATAAAGGAAACCGCCTTCTGCTGAGGTAACCCAGGGGAACTTTGTGCCTGCACCCCCCCCACACACACACACGGTGTTTCCCCACATACACGTCTCCTCCCCGCGGCTCGGGGCTGCTCCCGCCGCCGTCCTGCGGCTCGGCGAAGTCCAGCGCCCGCTTGGCCTCCTTCTTCTGGAACAGCTTCAGCGACAGCCGGCTCCGCTTCGACGGGCTGCCCCGCGACGCCGCCCCGCTCTCGCTGGGGAGCACCCCGGGCATCTTCCCGGACGGGAAACGCCGCCTGAGGCGAGCGGGGGGGGCGGCGTCAGGCCCGGACCGAGCCCGGCACCGGCCCCTCAGCCCCTCACAGCCCCCTCACGGCCCCCTCACAGCCCCCTCAGCCCCTCACAGCCCCCTCAGCCCCCTCACAGCCCCTCGGCCCCAGCCCCGCCGCCCCCGTGGCCGTCCCCCGGCGCTCACCGCTACATGGCCGCCCGTCCCGGCCCGTCCCGGCCCCGCCGCCCGTCGCTCTGGAGCCCGCGGGCCCCGGCCCCGCCGCCCGCCCCGCCACGGGAAACTTGGCGCGTTTGCCTTGCCGCCAGGACCCCCGCCCGCCGCGCTCCTCGCGCCCAGCCGCCGCGGGCTGCCCGCGTCAAACGCCGGAGGAGGAGGAGAGGTGGGAGCGCGCTGGAAGCGCGGAGGCAGGGTGGAAGAAGGGATCCATGCGCTCGCTCTGTGAGGGAGGGGAGGAGATGCCCCAGCGAGCGCTCTGCCGGTGGTACCGGCGCCGAAACGCTGTCTCCGCCATCAGGCAGTGAAAAGGGCAGCCCGCGGGGTCCTGCCTGAGCGCGCGCGGGCGCTGGTAAAGGCCTGGCCGAGGCCCGGGACTCGCGCCGGGGGAACAGGAAGGGGGGGGGGGGAGCGGCTGGGCCGAACCATTCCGCAGAGACACCCCCGTCCCCCCCCCTCCGGAGGGGGAGATGGATTGGTCCAGGGAAGCCCCGCCCCTTCCCGCCTCAGCCAATCACGGCGGGAGGCGCCGTGAGGCGGCAGCCGGCCCGCAGCGCCCCCCCGCGGCTGGTTGAGGAGATGAGGGGGGGCGGCAGCTGCCGCCCTGAGGAGAAGCCGGGGGGGGACGCGCGTGGTGCGGGCGTTTTAATAAAAATAATTAAAGTGTTAATAAAAAAAACTGTTCCCAAGCAGTGCGCGAAACGAACACCTGCACAACACAGAACCGCCCTGCTCAGCCAGGAATCCGCTCGTGGCTCCGCTTGCTGATGAGCTCTCTCCCATACACCCATTGCCACTCACACGCTTCACAAATTTGTGAGAATCGGTCCATATTTACGCCTTATAAGGCCGGTTCCTCACAGCTCTTCTCTCGTGGGACTTAGAGTGAGATGGGAGAATTGTGGCGGCGATGTCACCACGTGTCTTACGAAGCATAAATTGGCTATATTAGGTCTGTAGGCTACAACACCGTGGAATTGAATATTGACCCAAAATGTCAGAAATCTTACAAAAGTTCACTTTTTTTCTGAGAACTGAGGAGTTCTGTGTGGCAGGTGGAGTTTTTAGGCACTGGCGTTACCAGTCACATTATCAGAAAAGCCTGGTAAGGGAGGACACTTCTTTGTTGGGATCACACCCGTGACTCACAGGAAAACTTTGGTTAAATAAATAAATAAAATCTAAATTTTCACTAAGATGTTTTACCCAATTAGTCTCACAACTGACTTTCAGCCATGCCCAGGCACTGGCCTTAGATCCACACCATTTTCCGAAAGGTCTCAGTGCTGGCCCCGTCCTCGCTGTGTGCCTGTGTTTTACCCCCCCCCTCAGGCAGCTCCCCGGGGGCTCACGTTTATGTTTTTGCGTTTCCTGCACAGCAATGGATAACTTTGCAATTTGCTGTGGCAGATGTGGAAGTGATAGAACAAAATTGGAAGCCTGCCTCTTAGACCAAAGAGTGTTTTTTATAGCAGTTTAATTTTGAAAAGTTCTTTGCAATCTTTTTGGATTTTTTTTACCTCACTACATGAATTAATTATTACTGTAGATCAATATCCTTAAATATACATTTGAATCATGGCAGAAACGATAAATACTCTGACAGTCATGCACACACAAGCTACACATATTTGGCTATCCCTTACAGGGCAAAATACACTCAAATACCTGCACACGGACAGGCCCATCACCTGAGGAACCAAGGTTCAGGGGCTCAAGGTACATATTGAGCTAAAAACTTATTTATCTGTCCAGTGGGACTGACAAAGCCTCAAAGCTGGCCAGATAGAGAGCTCCCAGTGGAAGTTAAGTGGATTTTGTGTTTGTTCGAAGTGCCTCAGGGGTCTGGGGTCTGCTGCCCTGCCCTGCACCCGTGGGCAGATCCCGTATGGGTTTTGTTGACCCCACCAGCTCATGGACACCCAGCTCTGCAGAGGTTCTCTCATATGAGACAAGAAGTCTTAGGAAGTCTTATCCATGCGGGTGGTGCCCCAAAGCCACATAACTGCTTGGTTCCTTAATAAGGAGTTTCATTAAATCTGCCTCATGCTGCCCGTTTGAGTGGCCAGCTGAGCAGCCCCATCAGCAGGAGCTGGGAGCTGTTGGGCAATTAGGACCGTGGTAGTAACAGGGCCATGCAACTGGGACCAGGTGAAATCTGTCGGTGTTTGGACCTTGAATCAATCCTGGGCTGGAATAAACTCCAAGGGCAGGAGTCGGTCATTCCAGGCAGCCTTGGGTTTGGTACATCCCTGTCAAATGGCATGACCGAAGTGGTTTCTTACGAGCCTGTCTGAATTTAAGAAGAGATTGGACTGTGTTCTTAGTCACATGGTCTGAACTTTTGGGTAGACCTGTGCGGTGCCAAGAGTTGGACTTGATGATCCTTAAGGGTCCCTTCCAACTCAGGATATTCTATGATTCTATGATTATTTGTATTGCATTTCAATAAAAGTCTACCCTGTCAAGTGCGTGGTTTGCTGTCTGCTTTAACAAACACGGTATAAGACCATTTGTGTGATGTGCAGCCTGGTAGATCTCAGTGGCAGGTCTCCTCCTGAGTGCATTGGACTTTTTCTACTGGTAATTCCACTTGATCATTTATAAACCTTCTCCTGCCCTAAATAATTTCTCTCCCTTAACATGCTTATGAACTGCTAGCTAATTCCCCATCATCATTATTTTGACCAAACCAAACATAAATTTTTAATCTTTACTTTTAAGTCAGTTATGTTTTCTAAAGTCAATATAATTAAAAGAGATATTTTGGATGAATTACCTTTAAGTTCCCCTCACTGTTCACAATACAAAGAGCATATTTTTAAACTAAACTTTATATTCATTAAAACACTAATTACTATTGATTTTAGTGCATTTAATTTTAATTCTATGACATCAAATGATGATTTGAGGTCAGTGCAGTTGCAGCATTTTAGGATTTGCTTCTTTAATCTCCTTATTTATTTTCCAACCATGAAAAAGGATGGGGAAATGATCAGATGGTTCTTGAGTAGGAATCAGGAAGACAAAGAGAAATGTCACGGAGATGAGTTTTTTTTCTGGGGGAAAGCCAAGGACAAGAAATCAAGGACACAGCAGAGGCAGGCTACCCACACCAGGTGACCAGACCGACTACAACACCACCGCTCTTAGGAGAAACCTCCTCTTCCCAGCCTTTTGCACAAATTTCTATGCACCCTCTTAATGTATGGCTCGCTGTCACCAGTCAATGCGGGGAAGTCTCTCCAGCGGGGTGGTGTTCTGTTCAAATGTAAGGAAATTGGTTTCTTTTCTGTATCTCTCCAGAAATAGAGCAACACCTAATTAAATATTTATGGCGGCTTAGCAAGCTCAATAAAGGAGCTGTTGTCTAGAGGTTCTGCAGCTCGGGCTTCTTACAGTGAAGGAGTGTTTCGAACGGGGCCCGACGAGGGAGCAGGTGCAAGAGGCAGTAATTGCGTGCGTACGGTCCTGAGACACCCAAATGGGCGAGATTGAATTATGTCCAGCGCTATCGACTTCGCAGCCGTGTGTTATAAAAATGACCACGCTGGGAGATGAGAAATCTCCACGGACACAGCCCAAAATAACCAGGTGAAATGCCTGGAAAGAACAGATTCCCAGGGGATGGGATTTGGGGGACTCTTGGGGGAAGGCTCCCTTACAAAGCACTGTCCCCTGCAGGGGAAAAGCCCCACGATCTCGAGTTGTTGCTGAGCTACGTAAATTAGAGGTCTGGCATCTCCTGGAGACCTCAGAGCAGGAAGATCTGAAACCTGCCCTTGGCTCTCCAGTGGTCACAATTGCAAAATCTATTTCATTTTTGAGGAATACAACTCTTAGATAAATGCCCTATGGCTGGAAAAATACGAAACCGTTCACAAGAATGAGAATACTGACCAGAAAATACCACGTGGGTGCACATGGGAACAATCTGGCTGCTGTAGAAACACAGAGCCTTTGAAAGAGGAGACTCACCAGAGTTTTGCCTGGTTTGCAGTAACTCAGGAGGTCCATTTTTTGTGGCTTGGTGTCCGCAGGAGCAGAGCTGCCATCTCATCCTGGCCATGGGATGTTCCCCTCCAGATCTGGCTGATGCTGAGGGCAGAGCCGCTTGTGCAGGGCACGAGCACCAGGAGGGAGGCAGGGGTTACCCCAGCTCCAGTCCCTTCCTTTTAAAACCTAGCCAGAAAGTTTGACCTGAGTGTGGCCAGCTGTTGCCTAAAGAGCTTCAGATTAGGCACCCTTAAAGATACAGACTTTAGGAAACGCAGGAAATCATAAATCAGAACTTGCCACGGTTCTGTAAACTCCACGGTAAAGCCTGCAGCGAGCTCCTGTTCGTTTCAGCTGCCAAATAGCGAACTTCAACTGGAGCCTTGAGCCACAAAACATCAGCTTTTCAGTACACAAACTTCAGCTTTTCAGTAGTGTGCTCCTCCGGGCTGCAGTTTGTCGTTGCTGAGATCAGGATCCATTGCTCCTGACAGCACAGGCAGCACACAGCCACACAGCCACAGCTCTCGTTTCTCTCTTTCTTAGGAGAAAACACAGTCGGATGAGATCTGTGAACCCCCTCGAGTTGCACGTGCATCTATTACACTTAAGAAAATAACAACGATGACACCCATAGCGTAGAGATAAAGCAGGTTAGGTCATAATAACGCACATGTGGGGTCTGTGCACTGAAAATCTGCCAAACACGAGAGGGTTTTGTGAGCTGGTCCCAGACAGATCCCCTCGCCTTGAGTCTTCCTGAACGCCAAGTCCTGTACTGCAGGAAAGAAAAAAAAAATAAAAAAATATGTTCTATAAGCAGTCTCATTGCATTGTTAGGGGTATTTCCCCCATCTTTTGTCTGCCCAGGCATATTTTATTTCACAACTTGCAGCCTGCTGAGCAGAGGAATGTAACATCTGGCTCCACAGCCCCGCTGGCAGCAGAGGTGCAGCTCTCCATTATGGGCAGGAACAGAAACGAGAAGCCAGGTGCTGTATTTGCAACCCATCATTAAAACAGAATCAAAATAAAATCTCTCCTTGTCTCTTTTTTTGTAAGCTGGGATATCGTTTCCCTAGGAAGCCGAAGCAGGAGGCACTAAGCCCTGCCAAACACAAAGCCGAGCCTTCTTGCACCATCTGCTGGCTGCAGCTCCGCGCACGGAGCCACCTCCACCAGATGCCATTGCTCATCTCAAACCCGGGTGGTGTGTCCACATGCGGAGGTGTGAGACATCAGGGTGAGATGGTTCGTTTGTAAAAATGCAAACTTCAGGCACTCAGTTTGCTGAGAGGCATTTCTGCAGTTTGTAAGGAAACCACAAAAGGCCCTCCATGAACCTCGC